AAGAAGCAGGCGAACTTGCTCCTTAGTAAGAGGGTAGGGCTGGTTCATGGCTGGAGAGCACCAGGGCTGTAATAATATACGGTTGTATGCCGAAGGACACGACCTACTTATAAACACACGCAGAACATTCTAGCATGCTCTGGAAAAAAATTGTACTGGATATTCAAGAAATTCCGAGAACTTTCTTTCCAATCAGATACCTATGAGGCTAACCTGTTTGTCATTCCGGGAAACTCCTCCTTGATGGATGAACAGATTTTAATAATTAAGTGTTAGTCGAAAGCTCATGGAGGGGAGACTTATTGGGTCAGAGGTTCAAAAAGTGCAATGCGAACGTGGTTTCCACGGGTTCTCGTGTCTTTCTGCGCGTCGGATGCCTGCACGGGTTGACTTTTCCGAGTTGAAATTCGATCGACCCGATTGGAATCGTAGCCCGCACCCGACCCATGCACCTGACCCCGATTCGATCTACCCGATCGCCGATCGAGCTTTGCTGCTCTGAACCGCGGATCGTGTTGTGCTGTCATGGCCGGCCGCATCCCGCTTACGCCTCTAAGGATGAGAACTCCAGGTCTCCGATGACGTATTTGCCCCAAGGACCCCCTCCTTGGGGCAAATACGTCATCGGAGACGAAGGGACCCTCCCAGATCTGCACAAAATCTCAGTCTCGCGTGTAACGGTTCAGAATGAAGGGCATTCTGTGCAAGAAGACAGACTAGTGTCAGGATGTCATTCCGGGACAACTCCTCTTGGATGAACGAATTTTCACGAGTGACATGTCAATCGTATGACCGGAGGCGATACTTCCTGGAACAAAAATCGAAAAATTCTTCCCATTTTCATGTAACGAGGCCACCTTTCGGCCAATAAGAATAGCGCAATACCGAACGCTTTCCGGAGAAGTGCTCACACGACATGACCTGCACTCGACCTGAGACTTGATTGCCGAACGAACCGGTCCAAAGCCTGCTGTGTCCTTTGCGTCATGTGAGACCGCGAGTTCTGAAGCTCATTATCTCTCACCCGACCGGAAACTAGATTGTCAATCGACCTTCATTCCCGATGCACGGGTCAGATCGGTCCTATCGAGCCGAACCGCATCCCGGCCAATCTCAAAATCTTCCCCTATTCTACCGTGGCGTGCTTAAATGAAAACGACAGGTCACACTTTAACGTTGAGAAGCGAAACTTGCCGAACATTTGCATACAGGCGATTGGGGTTTCCTTATAGACGAAACCCATCCCCTTATAATTGATCGAAAGCATGTTCGTTTTAAATTTTAAAGTTGTATCTCCTTAGAATGCAATGCGGTGGAACTCACCGTTGCAAAAGGGAAATGTGGAGTCTCTTCAGACGGGAACCGTCCTCTCGCCCTCCATCTCATCACTAAGAGTTCCAAATTCGTTTTGTGTGCCTCAGTTTTGAACTAAAGGTTTCGTTCGAAACCTGGTGGTAATAACTATTGGGTTAAGAGCTCAAAAAGTTCTACCATTTTCACATCATGATGAATTCCAGCGATAAGAATTGCATCGTACTGAATGCCTTCCTGCGGAAGTTGTTTGTTATCCTAACTGCTGGCAATGATCATATGTCACATTTTGTCGCGTTACCAGTTCCGTCGCCGGTTTCAGACAGTGCTTCGAGTATGTTTCCTGCATTGAATTGTTGCTCCAATATTATTATTTTTTAAATGATGGCGTTCCCAGAATGCCGAGAATGGGGAAGTTTCAACTATTCTGTAGTGGGATCTACTGAGCGTGCGAGAAAGAGAGAAGTTTTGGAGTCACAGTCAGTGGATGAAAGTGTATGACGACGTTCACAAAACGCTGTTTCGCAGGATGCTTCCAGGAATAGTGAAACTGACGAAGAAAGAGCCGAAGGTCACGCACAAAATGTTCTCATTGCACTTATTTCAGCCCGTGCGCGCATGGGCTTTTAGACTAGTAATGCATATGGATAGGGCTTCAGAATATCAAATAGCTTCAGAACATTACTTAATCTATTTCCAATCACGAACTTAAGGTGTTGGGCTGTCATCCTGCTCCTAGCACCAAAGAAAAACCCATTACGTACCAATTTCCTTCTTGAGCGCATGGAAAACGGAGTTTTACACACATCTGGATTCTGAGCGACTGCGTTCCCTCCACTGCCATGCGATTTCAAATGTGAATGAACGCTGTTGAAGATGTGCTGATCGCGTACAGTATTATAATGGCTGGCATTGGGACTACCTCTGAGTGGAATAACTCACTCTATGAGATGGAGACTTCCCTCGGAGACATGCTGAAGACCGTTCCCCGTTACATCGCTCAAGGTTATTGGGAACGACATGTACACATGCGTACCTGAAAGAGGATTAGTGAAATCATGAAAAGAGAAAGGAATAAGTTTTATGTCGCGTCTGCATTTAAATTGGAAGCCATGATGTGATGAGAGTGTTTTATCTCTGTAATTCTGCCAACTTCATGTTCGCATTAAATAATAACAAAATTACATTAAATTAATGTCACATTAAATAACATTAAATATGCCTACTTTACACAATATTGTACAAGGAAAAATGAAAATGTTTAATGGGATATTCCCCTTCATCATATTTCCCGCCCACTTAACTTTTACCAGATCAAATTACACCAAAATAACAGATACCTTTACATAATCGTGAGATGCACTTATTGATATACTGTATTATGGTTCATGCACAGTATCTAATATATATAGACGGTCGTGACTGAATGACTGACTGACTGACGCTAATTCTAACCATGTTCCAGAGAAGTTAGAAATCTGAAACTTGGTACACATGTACCTACTGGCATGCAGAGTTCAGAAAAAAATCCGGCTTAGGAGGTACATGCCCTGGGGGGCACACATTTTTGGGGGAGAAGTTTTTAAAGATATATATTGTGACGGATTAGGATGGCATCTAGAGGATTGATTGGATGTCTCAGGTTCAGTGGTGTAGTGGTAGCACACCTGACAGGCAATCGGAAGGCCCGGGTTCAAATCCTGGCAGTTCCGTGGCATTATTTCGGCCTCTTATGCCTTCCAAGTCGCGTAACTCATTCCCCCTTCCTAACAATATCTTTGCTTTAGTAAAACGGAGAGACATGGAAAGCTGAAACTTGGCATACGTATAAGTGACATGATATTACTGAGCTGAGGGAGTATTCAGCTTTCATGGTGCATCCCCTCCGGGCATAGCTTTAGGGTGGGTCGGCTTTTCCAAACATGTTTTTTCACCAGCGAAAAGGGTAAACGTATAATATTGAAACTTTGTGGGCATGTAGTTCATTGAGTATGGATTTCGGTATTAAAAAAATGGTACGTTTCGGTTAAAACGGCTCAGGGCACATATATTGCAAAAGGCGTATTTTCCCAAACTTTATGATCCAGCAAACTAGAGGGCGCTGGAAAGTTTAAACTTGGCAAAGAAGAACCTGGTGGATAGCTGAGTAAAGAAAAAAATTCTACTTTTATTATACTGTATATATAGACGATCGTGAGTAGCTGACCGACTGACATAAGTAACTATTCGCATGCTTAGTTCAAGAAAAACTCTACTTTGGTGATATATGCCATAGGGGCACACCTTTTCGGTGAACATATTTTCAAATACCTGTAGTTCTCTTTGCTTCAATCAAAGGGAGACACATGGAAAGCTGACACTTGGCAAGAACGTGACTGCTGACGCACTGAGCTCAGGAAAAATGTCAAATTTCCAAAATATTGGAATTTTGGGAGGGATATTTATTGGTGACTTTACTTTTTCCAATAATTTCTCATATCAGAGCGAATCGGGCAGAAATAGAAAAGTAGCAGCTGGCATACGCATAACGGACGTAATGTTGATTTAAGGAAAAATTCAACTTTTGTTGTGCATATCCTTAGAGCACAGCTTTTCGGTGGGTTGCTTTTCCAAATACATTTTTTATCACAAGCTAAAAGGGGAAACGTATGAGGCTGAAACTGGGTGACATTGAGTTCCCTGAGTCTACATTTCAGAAGAAAGAAAAATTTTCGTTTAAACCCATCAGGGCACTTTTTTTAAGTCCCATTTTCCTGAATTTTTTTTAGTGAGCCACTGAAACAGACACAAAATGTAAAATCTCTCAGGAAGTACCTATTTGATGGGTGAGTACAGGAAAAATCCTACTTCTGAAATATGTCCCCTTAGCATAGATTGTAAGAGGGAAGTATTCCAAAATGCATTCTCCACCCTTACGAAAAGGGACACAAGAAAATATTTCAAGTTAGGCACACAGAATCATATAAGTATTGATTTTGATAAAAAATCAAGACTTTCGACCCCATATGTCACGCTTTTCAATGGAGACGTACCTTATATACGTGTTTGCCATTTCGCAAAGAATAAATGAATTAATCACTATCCAAGGTAATGGAGCGCCGAAGGCGCGACCATAGCGAGTTTGTTTGCCCTTCGGGCAAACAAACTCGCTAGTATATCATAATGTTTTCAGCAGNGAATTAATCACTATCCAAGGTAATGGAGCGCCGAAGTCGCGACCATAGCGAGTTTGTTTGCCCTTCGGGCAAACAAACTCGCTAGTATATCATAATGTTTTCAGCAGGCTCCATACAGGTCAAAACAATTCCTTGAACGAGAAAATTGAGCAAGTTGCAAGAAGCCAATGCTATAATATTTACACATACAAATGACACTGCTGAGCTAAGCTCAACAGAAGTGGCAGAAAAGTGCTCTAGATTTAGGTGCCAGGCTACGTGCATGCTGAAAGTTAACCACAAATGACGAACCTGCCTCTCCCCAAAGTCCATGGGATCCATTGGCGCTGAAAACGATGGGATGAGTTCCATCCATGAATACGAACGGGGAGAACTCGGGGTCGAGGGAGTCTTGCTTGGTGAAGTCTTTCACCTCCCATTGAGCTTTCACGTCTCCTCGGTCGAATTCGAACACGTTCTCTGCAGCATTGTAGTTGTAGTAGGCTCCAAAGCTGTGGCAGCTGATGTACAATTGCTCCGGTTCTTCATCCTTGGGGTACAGATGTATTAGAAAAAGAAAGAGATTATTCACAACAATAGAAATTCAGGGAAAATGCGAAGCAGTCGAGACAGATGGCTCTTTCGCATTCCCACAACATATCAAAAGTTTATACGACGTAATGGTCGTCGAGAAAATACATACCCTGAAACGGATGGTCAGATGCTCCCAGTCACCAACATGGTTGCCAAAACTTTCAAAAAAGCCAATACAATCATCTCCATCCGGAATTCCTGCAATGAAGGTACAGAGTCCACCGTTATAAAGTATGGATGCAATGAGAAAAATGACGCTTCTTGTTCCATCAAAGGCTTGGGAAGTGTTCCATATCGGTGTTGCGAACCAAACATGTACCTATGCAGATGTCCTTTCCCCTGTTATAAGGATAGAAGAGATGATACTGGATATCGATGAAAGGTGTCCCGTTGTACGGACGATAGAGGACGTAAGTTGGGATGATGTCATTCAACACATCTTGGCCGCTGAATATGTCTACGTCCGTGCATGTTGGACATTCTGGAAAACCAATTGGTTCAGGATAACTATTATGGATGGCCTTACGATAAAATTGTCCACCTGATTACGGCAACCACTCTTTCGAATTTCTCTGAGATATAAAGAATCATACCGATATGAAATGATTCGTGAAAGTAAATTGATCGTTCCTCACGTAAAGGTACGCGTTAAAGCAAAACAAACTTTACACCTTTGAACTGTCACTTCATGGGAGATGCCGGATAATGAATGAGGACACTTCGTTGATGTCATATGGAACAACCTTGAGAATAAATCCACTGGAGAGAATAAGGAAAGACGATTTAAATTTTTTTAGCGCCTTGACTGTTACCGAAGCAGAGTTTCAATGCCTCGTTAACCTCTTTTGATGACTGCGACGACTTCACTTCAAACTCGGAAGATTGTCTGCCCTGCCGATATTCCATTGTATGATGATCAGGTATACATTTCGTAATGCAGAACCAATCAATCGAATTGAAACCCGAAGCCTGAGGATGACGTTCCGCAAAGGTGATATTACTCCTTTTAAAAAGTGAAAGGCTGGCTTTGAGAAAAAAACAGCTTATGAGACTCACTTTATGGTTATCCTTAGCTGTATATCAGAATTAACGGATACAAAGTCTAAGGCACACCTCAAATGATGTGAAGACGCTGCACAATTTCATGCTTACGTATGACAACAAAAAGTAAAGACAAGTCAGGGTTGTCGATCCTGTTACCGAGATTGATGGCGTCATCATGTTGCGCTTCATGTAGCTTTATTGACGTTAAAAACTAAAGGGAGCGATTAAGCGAGAACATCCCCCCCGTCTGCAATGTCTATTTGTAAAATATGTCCTTTGTTTACGAACTACTAATTCGTAAATCGGAACTCACACCTCAATTTGTCCTGGTGGTACTCTACCTGAGGTTGGCAGACACTGAAATTGACAACCCCACTTTCAATACGAACCGAGTGCAGTGCCTGAACTTTAGAGCTTTTTATACGTTATAATATCTACTCGCACTTTTCAAACAGTGAAGAAACTTAGTTTTGTTGGCCGTTTTCATATCAGTGCCGCACGACAAGAATTTCATTCCTAAACATTCAAGGCAGGCAGTTCCGTTGAAATGTTTACATAGTTTGTAAATAAATTACATTCTACACCTGATTTAAGGCTCAGTCACTCACATCAGAAAACATGACTCACGTGTCTTTTAAAATTTAGTATGGATTGAGATAATAAAATTCGTTTGTTAAGAAATCCTCAATGTCTCATTGTTCCTCTGTGTAGGGTACATGAAAGGGGAAATAAATTAATTTCAATCGTGATCGAATATAAATTTCATTAGTGATTACCCACTTGGTCTACGACCTATTTGAAATGCCTTACGAAGGGGTTGATCGGTGAGCATGTAGTATCCGTCTGTTTCGATTCCACCAGGCAGGTTCTCGGGAGTGGGATTGGGTTCGATTGTGAAGAGGTTTTCATCCACCACGTCCACCGCATCCAAGAAGAATTCAATGCTGGAAGGATAGAACTTCTCCTCTTCGTGGAAGACCGTCACCGGGGCATACATGTTGGCCAAAGTTTCGACTGCGAGAAAGAAACAATATCTGTGAGATACATTAGCAAGTACATGTGGTTGAGAGAGTGTAGTAGGAGGGGATATGAGAGGATGTTAAAAATGCATGGGCAAGTGCACGAGTGGTTGTTGATGTGCAGCCACTAGTATGTAAATGGTTGCATGCACCCACTAAAATTTGAGTGAACGAGTGCTTGTAAATGCGTGTTGCGTTCACGAGTGACGTGTCCGTTTGCAGTATAAATACGTCTGAGTGCACGATAAGACCAACGAAAGAATCTCTCCTTCACCGAAATGATTGTTTTCGATCATCTTGAAAATTTTGAATGCCAGAATCATCTAAGACCTAATTTTTCTCTGGACCCGCTCAGTTTTTAGCGAGACTTCGACCCTCTTGGTGTAGTTTAAAAAGCATTATTCTATGAATATGACTCTGCCCATTGAGTTTACGTAATACTTACAGGAAATCCTTTGTATTGGCTTATTACTGAACCGAGAAAACCGTAGAGTAAAATATAGTGTCCTCTTCATCAAAAAGTAGTTCGTTCTTCTTTCACATTCACGGCACACCATGTCAAGTGCGAGTGGTAACCCACAAAACAATATCAGGGAGAAATCCCTAAAATTGCCTGCACTTTACTGCATGTTTATATTCTAATCAAAGCGAACACCTTCCTCGTGGACAACTGTCCGCATACTCGCCATGACGCTTTATGGGATTTACGTTGTGAAAGTTAAGGAGTTTCGCATCCGGGTCGCTCTGACTTAGGCCTTTGCTACCTTAGCCTAACGCGCGGGGTCTACGAGACTGCCATAGGCTAGGCAGAAAACCTATCCCCAGTCAATTTTGGGACACCCTGCATACTTTTCTTGTATTCAAGGGTTCAGTGATAGCATTTTTCGTCCTGCAATGTAAGAGTAATCTTGAGGATTCTTGTGTTGTGGAACCCTCCGAAAATAAATGAGTGGAAACGGAGTAAGCGTGATGGAATCGTGGCGGACGCCTACAAGACCGGGAAGACATTGCATGTCGGGGAGATTTCCGTGTAGCAATCGTGACAAGGAGTCTAGAGCCCTATTTTACTCTCGGTACAACAATCGGTAACCGCTTGTTTACCAGCTCGGAGGGATGAAACAGATGGAAGATCCCTCTTCCTCTGCGAGGCGCCCATCGATGTTTGCAGCGCGTGAAATTTCTGAATCGCTTTGACCTTGAGGCAATAGAAGATCCCTCGATTTAGGCCGAGACATTGCTGAGTCATGCATGCAATCTATTTCAATTTACGAGGGTCGTCCAAGGTCTACTTGGACTCTTGTTTATACAAGACAGAGTCATGTATGTATTGATAGATCAATAATATTTGGACGAATTAGTCTTCATTGTGTTGTATATACGTACAAGATCTGTACTCCATTCGATTCGACGTTTTGATTGCCACTAACACAGATAAGTCAATTCGTGGAATTTGGCTCACCATCTCGCTGGAAACTCGAAGCATGGGCAAGAAAAGCAGGAATGCACATGCAAAGGATGACAACTTCAGTGGCTTTCATAGTTTCTATTCTGGATTTAAAATTTAATGTATTGTCATCCGCAGGTCACGAGGGATGGACACGCATTACAACTTCGAGTCGCATTCCTGCCGGGCTTAGCTAAAAATAAAGTCTGTAATCTCGGATTATGAAATTCTCGATAAGCCTGATGCAAGAATTGCGAAATTCCCATCTCTCTATCCGGTTTATATTTTTTGCTTCGACTGAGTAGTGGCGCAACCAAACTTCGGGATGGTTTTAATCTCCCCTTTTCTGTCGTTGATCCACCTGTAAACGGAGCTGAAATCAATTCAGCTTATCCTGGTCTTCACAGGAATATGTGTATGCCACAAATAACAATTTTCGTGATTCTGACAGCTCTAAGAACCACGCAAAGCAGATGCATTAAGAACAAATCCCCTTGAACTTTCGGACCAGGCTTTTCTTTAGGTTTATCATTTGCCTAGTTCCATATCATCTGTGACGCCTTTCACATCAAAAATATTATTTCCATGATAATATTATAATTACTATAAAATGTAGCTGTTGTTTCACAAAAGGTATTTCACCCCTTAGATCCTAAATTGAGACTTCTGAGATCTGATATAATTTCAAAGCCTGAGCACGGACGTCATTTGGTAAAACTTCAAGGAGGGAAGAAAGAAGAAGCTATGCTACTTGAATGAAACAGTTCAGCCAGAAGTGTTATCGTCTGCTTCGATTTCGCGAATTTTACGAGATGCAGTCAATCGCGAAATTGAATCGCTCGTGAATTTTTTCCCGTATGGGCTAATGGCCAAAACATTGGAAGTGGTCCATTTTGTGAAACTTGAATTTCGCGAAATTATAAACAATTAGGATTTCACGATATTAAATCGGCACCTAAAATCCCCCCTGCGTTGTCATGTAAATTTGGCTGCAGGAATTATATTTCATTAAATGAAACTACAATCATGGTTGCCACTCGGCAGCAAAAAATCTCTCAAATGAAAGTTAAAGAAGCGTAAAGCAGATTCGCAGACGTTCTCTGGCTTAAACATACTGTTTTAACGCCCACGAAATTTATTAGATTTACCGCAACAGTGGAGAGCAAAGGAACTTTCAGTTTTTGCGAATTCGTCGATCAATTTACTCCGTGTTCGCTTTCGGTGCGGCCAATGGCAGACGACTCCACTTTTTTTTACTCTTCGTGGCGGATGAGAATCTCTCGGCTCATGTAGTTGTATAAGACTGAGTTAAAACAAGGTCGATTATCTTCAAGTTTCGAGAACGTTTCTCTTGAGTTCATGAATGCCCTAGGATTACGAAAAATAAAAACAGGAGCCATGAAACCATGCTGCATGAGAGCTCTAAAGGCAGACTATCAGGCTATTGCATTGGAGGGAATAAAGGAGGCTATTTAGTAATAGTAATCGCTCCAAGACACAAGGGGAGGGGGAGCAGTTGCCCCTCCGAAATGACGTCCCTGAGCCTGAGTGTTCACCATTGACGTCAAGCCAATCGATAAAATATACACTGTTTTCAGATTGAATTGATCCCCCCTATTGTGGAGAACGGTGAAAACACACGCTTTCAAATGATCCTCGAGATGTCAAGCCTGCTGCTCCGCATGGTTGTATGGTTGTTGGATGGTTTTAATACTTCACCTTCCATCCGCAAGGTGTCCTGCCTGTAATTTACGGAAGCGCTCCTGGTGGGGGGGTGCCAATTCAATCTGAAATCAGTGTATTTGTTTCGTATGTAAAAAAAAATAGTTTTATTGCTTTCTGTCAAGCTTTTTTAAAGCCGAGTTTTTCCTAAAATTAAATGTAAGGACTACCCTGAATGTCTTTATTTTCGCTGCCACTAAACTTACTTTCTGGCAAGCATAGCTATGATAGTTTTATAACCTTGCAGCTTTATTATTAATTGTAATAAGTAATTCTGTGGAGCGTATACCTTGCCTTGAAACCATGATGGAAATGGATACTCCACACAATACTTTGATTACTCCTAATTATGGCTGTGATTCGGAGGATTATTTGTCGATAACGATGTTTTTCACTTGACCTCGGCACTCATGCACGTGTGTCAAAGCCAAGTGAAAAATAATGTACATGTACTAAGCAAGAACAAAAATATATGTACAAAGGTGCGACACCGTGTATTTTCGCTGACAGGCATGGCCTCTTGCATAATGTCACACCGGACATGAACACTTCTCTTTAGCAAGTGCCTTTTCCGGCTCGTGTTCTATCTCGTTCCCATTTCCTGGCGTCACCGTCTATCTTCATTTTCGGTCGTATCGTCTAGTTCTTAAATTCGTAATGGATGCTTATTTAGTAATTGAACTACCGGTAGCATATGATTCACACAAAGGCGTAATTTCTTATTCTTTATTCACGAAATCTATGAAAGCACAAATCGAGAAGGGCTGAGTTGTGCCGCAAGTCATCCTTCAAGTTCGTTCTCCCACTGGGACCATCTCTGACCGCGGGAGGCTCGAAGACCTTGGCTCTTCGTTGGAAGGTTTATGAAGCTCACTTTCGCGCCGTGCAAGTTCGTGGGACGCTGGCTTAGTTCTCGGCAGATTGAATCTCGTGGTTCGGTTCCGCCTCTTCGACGAGCTCGTCAGTTGCGAGTTCCATCCCTCAGCTAACTTATTCGGTCGTGGCTCGTCACGATCGACATGGCTCCCGAGAAAGAGCACTAATGTCTCTGATTCAGGTGGTGATCATGCAGCCGAGGAACTTCGTGCCTCGTAAGGAAGGAACCAAGTCAACCGGAGCATTTCTCTCCATATGATTCCAAGCCTCATCTGTGAAATTGACAGGGACCGAAGGCAAGACCATGAACCGTAACATCCGTTCCAGAGCTAGCGCAAAGTTCTTGCATGCCATCATGATTAGTACTTACTGGATTTTCGTACGCAGAGAGTATGGAAGATGAAAATGGCACTTTTTCATTTCGCTGTTCGGAATAGCATCCATCGAGTCGCTTTCTAGATTCAATCTCAAAATCAACTCTGGTCAATTCTGGGTCTTAACAGGCGCTTTCATATTTCTCAGCTTCCATAGGGGTGCCAGCTCACCCATTCGCATCCAGGAACTTTTGGGTCTATCAGGCATAGGCTGCGGGGGAAGGAATTGGATGATGCGTACCAGTACGCACGTGGATACGACTGGGTTAAACTCTTTTTATTGCAACATATTGGTGTCTTGATACCGGATAATGAGGTGAGATATCTTGCCGTTGATTTTACTGCATTTATTGATATGATTTTATTTATATTTTATTCTCTTATTCTTTTTTTTTTCATTTGAGTTGAAAGAAATGTGAAGTCTTTTGTTTTAAGTAGAAAGGCCGATATTTTGAACAAAACGATCCCTTGGTCCCAGCTTATTTTGTAGTTCTCTACCTCAAATTTGTTTTAGTAATTTTTCAAGTGATTCTACTATGTTTAATTTCAATTATTTAACTTATGTATTTGTAATTGAGGCTCAGTATTAATTAAGTACAGTAAATAAGTTTTAATTCAAATCTATCCTAAATAATGCTACATATCTTTGTCATGTAGCGATGACTATTTCGGACTTCGAGAAATTTAACTCTTTCCATTCGATTTCCCTTAATATCGATAATTCTGCGTTGCGCTGCCAATCTGGGGCAAGATTATTCGTTCAGCGTCACGCGTGAGCGGACGCATACCCTATGCTGCGAGAGTGGTAGCAACAAGCAACAAAATTCCAAAGCCGAGTAAACTCGAGGAGTGGGACTTAAGTGCGAGACAGCACTCCAGGAAGAATAAACTCGACTTTGGCCCTGAACGGGCTACAGGTGTTCTGTCATCCAAATACAAGTTGCACTCGTAACCCGGCCGAAGCGATGCATTTCTTCTCCCTGTTCGGTTCAATTAAGGAGATTACTTTTTAGAGCTAATTTTCAGGCCGAAACGGTTCGTGGATTAAGTCCAAAACCCCATGCTTCCATTTATACGGTAGCATAGATTTTGTAATGAGGCGATGGACGAACCTTGAAATGTACTTCACGGACTTTTAACACATTCATCTTGCATGGTTCGTCGCTGCGAGAATCGTAGCGGAACTAAGTATAAATGCCTGGCAGAAAGTTGCATCTCGGGCTTGAAAATATCTTAGCGGAAAAATGAGGAAAAGGGAACGGTCCGATTGGCT